CAACAACTGCCGAACCCCAACAAATGATTTCGAAGTGGTTCCCAACACTTTGATCATCCACTATGGACCGTGCTAGGGCTGTTTTACCAAGTCCCACCATCCCAACTATCGAGACTCCAACACCCCCTTGCAAGAGCTTATCTACAATGTTTGATCTGTCTATTTGCCTTCCTGTTGTAAGTGGCACTGCATTATCCGGGGGCAAAACTTGGTTATTATTGTGTTGCTGCTGACGATGATTGTTTGAAGATTCCAGTGTCTGATTAATTTCCTCCTCGAAGTCTCTGAATTTCTGTAACATATTGCTTATGTTATGAGGCAATCCCCACCTCCTCAATTTCGACAACATATGCAATCGCGCTTTTCTTGTTATATTATCTGTCGAGACTTCATCATTTGGCTGCCTTAAAATGCGGCCTCGAGTATGAAAAATCCGCCTTATGAAGCTGCGACGACGACGACTTATTTCTGCTACCTTTACACTATCGATTATGTCATCCACATCGTAATACATTGTCGTCAGCTCTCTGACTAGTGGCTTCCATCTTTCAATCACTGAAGGCTCAAGTCGATTGAGCTTTTCTTGGATTCTCTGCGCCCGGATTTCTAACTATTGGAGGTTGTCATTTACATTTACGAATTCAGCTATCTCGTTGATGACAAAAGATAGTAATCTCGTTAGCAACACTGCGGTTGATGAAGCAATGAATGGATCTACAGGGATAACCATGTCGAAAGATTTTAGTGGTAAACTCAATAAAAAGGATGATGCACAAAGACTAATTAATAATGCAGTCGAAACTGAGTTGCACTACAAGATTTCGTGTTTTTTTATGGCCAGCAAAGATGAATGTACTTGAATATAATGAGCAAGAAAAGGAAAATTATGATCAATTTTGAGGAATTAAAGAGTAGAAAAGGTATTAGCCAAGTGAAGATGCGTTACTAAAAAGAATGTTATGAGGCGAGGAATATGGATGATAGAGGGAATAATTGTATGATTGGTATCTAGACTTTGGTATTTTGTGTTTATATAGCCTAAAAGATACTTCGTACAACATTTTTTAAAGTTACATACCTTATCAAAACGCCTATATTACCGAGTACTTTATATTCTCTCGATTCCTTTTCAAGTGTCTTGATTTGACTGATATATTTGTCGACATAAAATTATGACTAATAATATTTTACTCATCAACGAGAATGAATTGTCACAAGTTGATATTTGGAAATTATATAAATTGAGACGGTTAATTAGTACCAAAAAGAAAAAAATGTTTGACTTATGTATAAAGCATTAATATTGGTTAAAGGATTTGTATGTGAATAGGGAAACTTATACTCCGATCCCTTTATCCCTTCAACAGTAGGATGCAAATCATTGAAAATTTTAAGGTACAGCCGCCTGTATCTAGCAAGGTACAGACAAAAAGACGCGGAAAGAACATGTAGTAGTTTTTTAACGAACATAAAATTGTTTTGTAAAGAACATATAACTGTTTTGTAAAGAACATCCAATTTTATGTTTTTTTTATACATCTAAAGAACATCCGTAATATTTATAAAGAACATGATAATATTATGTAATGAACATTATTTATGTATATTCACCATAATAAAAAAAAAATTAAAGAACATTTCACAATAAGTAATTAACATTATATCGCAAATAATTAAAAGTACATTACACTGACAATTAAAGAACATAAACATATGTTCTTCACTCTTTTTTGATATAAATATGTTACTTTTTACTTTAGATGATATATGTTCTTTACTTTTTAATAGTATATTCTTTTTATTACAACGATATGTTCTTTACATGTGTGTAATATGTTCTTTTTGCTAAGCAGCTATACAATGCAAGGTACCCACGCTTGTAGGAACCACACATTGGCGAATCATACAAGTAGCAATAAGAGTAGACACTTAACCTTATAAGGTGTTTAGCTCTCTCAACTTTTATTAATGTGGGATACGTACACATGCTATTTGGAAAGGATCTACCTCAACAAGACAACAAGGGACTATGTGAAAGATAATCTAATTTACCAACGTTATTATTGAGCTTTTTTTTTTCCATTAAATTTACAAATATTAAGTACAATGTTGGGTTATCCTTGGCGTTTGGCACCTTAACTAAAATAGATCGACCACAAAGAATCGATGTACTTACATGAATAGGATGTCACAAAGTCTCACAATCCCATCAAGTTTTTTTATTTTATTTTATTTTATTTTATTTTTATCTTTTATTTTATTTTTTATTTTTATCAACTATTCCTCACCTTGGAATCAAATTTCAAATGGATCCCCTTCTTCAATTCTTACAAAAATAAATAAATAAATAAATAAAAATAAAATTACATGTTGATCAAGCGGTCACTTATTAATATATCGATCAACTGGGGGTTTTACAATACTTACAATATAAAATTAAAGTTAATAATTAAGTTTACCATTCAAAGTCTACTATAGATTGAAGGAGAAACATTATTTTAAAATATATAATTTGTCACAGAACACGTCAAAGTCTACTAAAATGTGGTCGTATGAATTTAATTTGTTGATCGGAATAAATATCATGTAACGCCTGAGAAGAGGGTTGCAACAATTGTTACCTATGGGCCTATGGCTAATGGCTGTTGCATATCTGGAGAATGAAGCGCGTAAATTTAATTCATGTCAACTTAATATTTTAACTAGTAGCTAGAGTGCTACAACACTTCTTCGTTAATCATATGAAGATACCCCGTAATCTCGTATATTTAGTTCATTGTTAACAACTAATGATCGATGACTCGACTTTAACAATAACATAATTAAGAATCTTAATTATTACTATATGAATGATTGAGGCACTAATTAATACGGAGTACACCCTAGCACAAACGTGCTTAGATGATTGACAACTAGCTTAGAGCAATTAATCAATAATGGCTGAAAGGGGTGTTCATAATATAAAAACTGGGTATCCGGTTTCTCAGAATCCTAGAAAAATGGGTACCCGAATTTTTGGGTCGTGAATCAGTCAGCCAATGATCTGAGATTTTGACCCAATAACATCGAGTACCTACTTTTCCCGGGTCGGGTCATAAGGTACCCGAAAATACTCATGAAGGTACTCATGATTTTTGTAAGGGTTATAAGTACCCACTTTGTGATATCATAATTACCGATATCAATGGTTAAATAGTGCAATGGCAATTGGCAAATGTCTTGTAGGTATGAATAATTGAATATGATACATCTATTTAAAAACAGAAGATAAAATCGTCATGTATGATACTCCGAACCATTCCTTTCATCTGTCACTTCATTTAAAATTTTCAGTATGTTGTTAACTTGTTAAGTGAGATGGTGACGGGAAGGTGATTGAACGGCATGATAATGCAATGGTGGTGGGATAGGGAATTAGGGCCTGTTTTGTTTACCTTATTTCAGGTCTAATAAATTCAGATAAGTAGAGTTTAATAAAAATTAAGTTTTGTTAAGGGTTATTGAAATTCAAATTACAACTAAAATAATTTTTATTTTCAGATAAGTGGAAATTAGGTGAATAGAACACACTAGAAAAATTGTTTTAAGGTCCTAAAAGGCTAAAATGCCTCAATCTCGCAAACAGATCAACATTAAACGTTTTTTCTAACAAATTTCCATAAAATAAAATCATTATTATAATAACATTAGGGTAACTCTTGTATGTGGCTGGCCACACGGTTTAGCCACATTGATATATAAGAGTAGTCTTCATTTAAATGTATGAGCAACTTCATTTTTTCATAAGAGTAACCTCATTTGCTTATTTCCATGACCCTTATTACTTAATTAATTGCCTTATATATGATTATGTAAAGTGGTCATATCATCATGTGAATAGCCACGTACAAGAATTTGTGAACTTGTACATTGTGGTTTTTTTGTGGAAGAATTTAAAACTATACTTTATTTTTATCACTTATTAATTCAAGAATCAAATTGATAGAGGTATCTATTATTCAGATTAAAACTGAAATCTAATCCAATCCAAATCAAATTATCAATTTGGATCAAATTTGGACTATAACTCGAGTTTGATCGGATTGAAATTTTTAAAAAAATTCGGATTGGATCTAATTGATCTTGCATGGAACCGAAAATTCAATATATTTAACCATGTATTTATATACTACGTGTATATAATTAATTAAATTAATCATGTAGAACTATGTTTTCAAGTCTTGTAATAGTAATATGAGCTTGGACCAATTTTATTCTTATGGCCCTGTTCATTTCAGTTCAGTTCTGCTTCTAATTTCCTTCTCTCATACAATATTCATTTCAGCTTTATTCAGTTAAATTTTGTTAATGTAAACAGTCCCTTACATTTTTATTTTTAATGTTATTAGGTCCTAAAAATTTGTAATGTATATCAATTGAAATTTCAGATTGTACCAATTAATTGAATAATTTGAATGGGGTTTCATGAGAAATTTGGACAAAATTGAATTGAAAAATAGAAAGTCATATTTTATTTTGGATGAAATTGGATTAGGCCTGAATCCAACGTGAAAACCGATTATTCACCCCTAGTTTCTGAGTTCTTTTGTCGACACCCCTAGTTTTGGGTCTTAAACGGGTGTTCTTCTTCCAATTTCTGTGTTCATCTTTTGTCGACACCCTTAGTTTTGGGTCTTAAACCGGTGTTCTACTTCCAATTTCTAAGTTCGTTCTTTTGTCGAAATCAAATCAAAAATTATATTTGTCATTGAATAGAAATGTTTGAATAAGTGGTAATGTCGATATGTTCTTGACTTGTTCAAGATACGTGACTTTTAATTTAATTATAATTTCGCTTACTTCGTGAACCTCATCATCATCAACTGACTTGATTCTTCAATTCCCCTTTCTTACGGGTCAAGGGTGAAGTTCTGAGTAAATTATTACACAAGCTCCTTGTCTATGTCGCCAGCATTTTTATTATTAGATTGCTATATGTACAAGGTATATAATATAAAATCTTAACCATTTTTGAATTGAACATATATAGTCTGAACTTGAACGAATACATCTTGGTTCATTCAATCAACGGCTATCTTCTTTCCAATAACTCAGCTAATCAAATCTACACAATCAAACAAAACAGCTAAGACTTAAATTTCTTATTCGATCGGTCGAAACATGAAGTTTTTCTCAATTTTAAGGTGCCTTCCATCATTGGCAAGGAATTATCCTGCAGAGAGAGATCCAGTTTTTCAATGCATCGCAAGGTAATAACAAAGCTATCAAACATAATGAACAATAATAGGATATGGTTACTTTGGTTTATTTTCAATTTTGCTGCTTTTTAATCAAGTATAATTCAATAATCTCGTTAGTTGATTTGAGATAATCCACATAGAATTCATATTCAATTAAATTCATGTCTAATTAACTTTTTTTTTTTTTTTTTTTTTTGGACAGAATGTCTAATTTACTAATTATGAACACTTACTTATACATGGTTTTTTTTTACTCCCCCTGTTGTTATTCTAATTTTTACAAATTTTACCATCAAATATACTGTTAAATAAATAAAAAGTTTCATAATATCAACTTTTTTTTTACTAATATTAAATCATATATCTAAGCTCAAACTAGTGTATTGACATGTGTGTCAAGTTTAACTGTTCAATTATTCAAGAATGGAAAGAGTATTAATTTATTAAATACATACTTCAATTCCTCTATTTTTATACTTGCAAGTTGCAACATACCTTTTAGGCACGCTATTTGAGAACACAATTTTTTGTATGCGGCTTGCTGTATCATACGGCAAGGACTACTCGAGTTACTCGGTTAGGGGTTACTCGAGTTTCTCGGTCAGGGGTTACTCGAGTTGCCGGGGTTACTCAAATTATTCGATCAGGGGTTACTTGAGTTACTCTTAACCAAGTAACCCCTCAAGTAACCCCTGACTGAGTAACCATGCACTCGAGTAATCCATGACTGAACCTCTCGAGTAACCCCTAACCGAGTAACCCCTAACTGAGTAACCCCTAACTGAACCCTCAAATAACCCTTGACTGAACTCCTTAAATAACCCCTGACCGGTGAGTAACTCGAGTAACCCCTCACATAGTAACTCGACACCTGACCGAGTAACTCGAGTTACCCATAACCGAGGAACCCCTAACCGAAAAACTCGAGTAACCCTTGACCAAGTAACTCGAGTAACCCCTCAAGTAACCCTTGACCGAATGAACCCCTCGAGCTAGTAACCCCTGTCTGAACCCCTCAAGTAACCCCCGAACGAGTACCTCGGATAACCCCTAACAAAATAACTCGGGTAACCCCTGCCACACTATGTGGCCTGCTGCATCAAAAGTTGCTAATTTGAGAAAGTGATTAAACTAAGTAAATTCACGAAGAAAACTATAAAATTTAAAGCATTGCTATTCGTCACTTTCTTCTTACTTGTGTTAAAAAATATTCAATTAATTTTTTTGTTTGTCTAGTCTAATATCTCCCTTAAGGTGTGCGTACTAATTCTTGTATTTTTGTTTTACGTCTTCCAATTAATAAAAAGTATAACTCATCTGTATAGATAAAGTAACCCTATTTTCTTATTAACATTATTTGTTCATCATAGGAACTCCTATTACTCATTTAACTACCTTATACATAAAGTGATCACACCATGTCACTAGCCACACTATTGATGGTTTTGACACCACCTTTAATTTTGTGCCTCCTTAGTACTACGAGTGACAAATCTTTGTTATATTGGAGATGACCAAAATCCGGGTCTGGCTAGACTAGACTGGGCTTTAGTACAAAATCTTGTGCCTAAACCTACAAAATTGTATCGAGTCAAAGTGGATTTTTTGGGTCGGATTTAGGTTTTAAACCGAAGATATATTTTTAGGGTTGCCCAAAATCCGCACTTTTCTCGGACCAGCTTGATGGGACCATTGGGCCGAGCCATTGTTGGTCACTAGCAGTTGTATTGGTTGGGACAAGTACCTATGTACGATGCTAATAATGTACTAATTTAAACTAGTTTCACTTAAACAAAATATATGGTTTTTTTTTTTTTTAAAATGATTCATTAAATAAAAAATAATACGACATCTCAACGAGATTTAAATCTAACAAATACACGACAATTGAATAATATAGAACGATCGTTTAGCAAAGTTATGTTCGTTAATTAGTTGCTAATTATACATCCTTCAAACCCTATTTATATTATGGTTGTGATTATTTATAGTCTTCCTCGGCGATGGGTCTATCAAATTGTTGTAGTTGTACTACTGTGAAGCGATTTTTTGTCTAGATGATCTGATTGTAATGAAAGGATTAATAACTTATTTTTCGATCTCGTATAAATTTATGTTCATGAAACAGCTTGTACTATACTAAACTCATAAAACTGAATCTGAATAAAGCCTACTATGGAGGAGGCACTAATATACTCAGAATGTACTTTTATTGAAATTAATAACAAAAGAATGAAGAAAAAACACTTTTGAATAATCCTAGAGAGAGAAAAAAAGTGATTGGAGATCAAAGAGGCAGATAGGTTTTTTCTTTCTTTCTTTCTTTTTTTTTTTCTCTCTAAACCCTTGTATAAAGTAGACCACGTAGTGGTGGGACTAAAGAGATCAAAGTGAGAATTTTTTTACCATAATGGTATAAAATAAAGATAAGAAGATTAAAAAAAAAATGTATATAAACACAAAAAAGGATTAAATAATGGTGGTTGTAATGCAAAGATTGAAGAGGGGGAACTAGGAAAAAATTAGGTAACAAAGGGGGATGATGTCATTATTAGTTGTGTTGATAATTTGATAATAAGTTGATTAAAATTAAAATCACAAATGGTAAACTAGCTAGTTTGCTACAATAACTGTTAAATAATTAATTGCATGCAGCTTATGCGGCCCCAAAGGAAGGATCCATCTTCAAGCTATGTAAAACATATTAGCCCTCGATCATTTTCGAAAGGCCAACAATGGCCTCCCTCGGCAGCAGGACATTCCGTAAGTACAACTCCCAGTGCATATCAACCATACGGCTTACAAGAAGATATCGAATGGGCAATTCATGTGGCACTTAACGAGCTTGGAGGTTTTCAAAGTGTGTTACTTAACATTGCTTCCTTATAATCATTCCAAACACTTCCTATGTTATTTGAATTGAAACTAATGATATTTTGAATTGTGAAATACAGGGAATTGTGAATATTTAACGAACCAATTGGGTAAAGAAGACTCAAAATCGTTACTAGACGTTAATCACCATCTGGAGGCATGTTTTTACTATTACTTTAATGTTTAGTTCCTTTATTTCATGTAGTCCCTCGGTTCCTTATTGTTTGTTACATTTGAAATCTTTTTGTAAAAGAAAAATAATGGGTGTAACAAACAAAATTAAACAATGAATAAAACATATTACATATTACATTTAACATATATTGTATCTTTAATTGCAGATGCTGAAAAAGTCTAAATGTTCAGATGTAGAAGGTAATATGTCTTAATAGTTACGTTTTTTATATGTCATTTTTACTATTTTATTAAGATGCACAACATTGACATAATTGCATAAATATTCTCTAAACAAACGATCGATGAGAAAATGTACCTTCTATCTTCAAATAAATTTGACAATCTTCTAATAAAGTACATAACATTAACATCTTTGTTACAGTGATAGAGTATAAAAGCCTCACTGAGAAAGAAATACTTGAACCTAAGCCTAAAGCACGAAAAATCGTGAGGCAAAAGCTCGAAGCCATATTAACAAAGAAGTTGGGTTTCACAGAAGAGGCAAAGAGTAATCAAATGAAAAGAGAAGAAGGCATGTGGTTAGTTTGCACTCTATTCCCTGAAACATACGAGTTCAATAAGGAAACACTTGTTCAATTATGGATGGCAAGAGGTTTCCTAAACAATAACAATGATGATTACAAGAAGCAAATAGGAGATACCTGTTTTGGTGGAAGAGGGATGCATTGAATGCTCGCGAACATGCTTTTCGTCAACAGCGGAAAGCAAATACAAAGTTAATGTTGTACATATGAAGAGTTCGACAACAATAGACACGCCGCTGTATCTTAGATTGAGCACATCAGAACTTCAGAAAAACGACGTCCCTAAAAAGTCGAGAATTTATCTTTATGGAGTAATGAACCTAATCAATCCATGTTCAACCACATAGAAAAACTTGAGAATTTGAGAGCACTTTTGCTACTTCAGCCAGCAATTCAGGAGTTCCAACAAACCTATAAATCCACTAGCATGATCTACAAAATTCCACCAGGTATATTCTCGAAGTTGAAGCATTTGCAAGTCTTGAACTTGAGTGGATTTCCTATAATAGACCTGCCAAGTTCCATAGGAGAAACAAAGGAATTGCGGTACCTTGATCTTTCATATACACTGATTGAACTATTACCTGTGACAATTTGCCTTCTTTCGAACTTGGAAACCTTGAAACTCCGGGGTTGTGTTCGCTTGGTTAGGCTACCAGAAGGGATCATAAAGTTGACCTCCCTTCTTCATTTGGATCTCAACATTCTAAGCCAGCTATCATTATTGCCGAAAGGGATAGGAAAGCTTACCGCCCTTGAAACTTTATCAGCATTCCTCGTTGACAAGGAATATGGCCGTAGAATCAATGAGCTAGGTTATATGAATAACCTCGAGGGTAGCTTATGCATCTCACAATTGGAGAGGGTTTCAAATAGTAGTGAGGCCAAGGAAGCCGCTTTAAGTCACAAGAAGCACCTTAAGAGGTTGGAGCTAAGATGGAGCGCGCCTAGATTGAGCAGGAAAAAAAACCAAGAGCTAGAATATGAAGTTCTTGATAACCTTTGTCCACCTTCAAGTATCGAGGATCTAGAAATATCAGGCTATGGTGGCTTGATATTTCCTAATTGGATCGGCGATTCCAAAGTCCTCCATATGCTATTAGCATAACCCTCATTAAATGCGAGAACCCTAAGCTTCTTCCATCACTTGGTGAGCTACCTTTGCTCCAAACTATTCATTTAATCGACATCAAGAGGATTAAAAAGATGGGTTCTGAATTGCATTCCCTGAATTAAGGAAGCTCACTATTGTTGGCTTGTCATACTTGGATACATGGAGTGGAGTTAAGGAAGGAGATTTTCCGCTCCTTAACCAGCTTATAATAGAGAATTGTCCTAAACTGACCGCGCTTCCATCACTCGAATCTTTTCATTCACTGAAGCAATTGGAAATAAGTCAATGTACTAAGCTCTCTTCTTGGTCACAAGTAGAGTTTCCATCCTCATTGAACATGTTGGTTGTAGAAAATTGTCCTTCCTTCAAAAAGAGGTATGGTAAACCCAATAATAAGGATCGCACGAAGCTTATGCAAGTGAATAATGTGTGGATTGATCATGAAGAGATCACAAAAGCCGGTAATGTTGCAATTCAAGTTATGTGACGACAATGGCTCCATTTGGTAGAGGAAGAGGATGTAAGAATATCTTCATCTTTTCTTTTCTTTTCTTTTCTTTTTTTTTTTTTTCAGGGGTAGACAATCTTTTTTACAAGATAATTTTAGTAATTTCTAATCTACTTGCGATTTTTTTAAAACTCATAATTATATTTTAAGACAACCATTTCTGTAAATTCATTTAGTCTTTGTCATTTCAAAATTATTGAATTGAACCATTCAAAAAAACTTTGGTTTCAAACTTCAAAACTTCAACTATGTCACTTTCAAAATTAAGTAAATTAAATTTTATACTTTTCTATATTTCCTCAATGATACTCTCAAAATAATTATTCATTAATTATATAAATGGTAGATTCTAAAAGAACTTCAATTTCAAATTGATTTAGATAATAAATGCATAATTTTGCTTCTTAATTAACTTGATTTTAAACATTTATATGTTGCTTATTGTCATGGAACAAACAAAGTAAAATTATCTCTCTATCTTGCCATCTGAAAAATACATGAAATTTGTTGAACTTAAAAATTGTAAATAACTTTCAATCTTTAAATACAAATCTACTAAAAAAAATTGAATTTTATTTCACTGTTTATTACTGGGGATCTGAGAATGGAAGTATACTCTTACAACCATTCAATGATTAGCTTGAATTGTGTTTCAACTCTGTATTAGTTGCTAAAAAGAGAAACAGCAGTGAAAGCCTTGTTTATTTCTTTCCCAAGAAAAAAATTTATTTATAAGAAAACTAATTTAAAGTGGAAATATTTTTATCTTCATCCAAATCACCAAATGGAGCCTAGCTAATGTATCCTCAGCTGCCAAAGGTAACTTTAGAAACTAAACATGCTAGTAAATTTTATTTGTGTTAAAATATTTACAACAATTTGATTGATTCACTCGCTAATCTATTAACCTATACTAAAAGCAAATCTTTCCATAACACTTAAAAGCAAATCCTTCCATAACACTTGTCATTACCTTGTGAAAAATTTTCTCACTTTTTTCGCTTTTTTTTACAAAATCTTTTACTAAACTATTTATACCTTATGTATTTCTTTCCAATTTGAAAATCATATTCCATATATACGCAAATGATATATTTCTATATTTTTTTATATAATTAATATTTTGTATTATTATTGTAAAAAATATTTAACAATAGTACATTGCACGGAATTTTAACCTAGTATATATATATATATATATATATATATATATATATATATATATATATATATATATATATATATATATAGGAGGAGGCTCTCGTGAGAATTTTTCTTACGTGAGAATTTTCCTTATGTGAGAACACTCTTTATGTTCTAAATTTTTACTCGTATGTTCTAAATTTTAAATCTAATTTTCTAAATTTTTCCTTAGGTTTCTAAATTAAATAAAATGTTCTAATTTAGTACTCACATGTTCTAAACCATAAATTAGTTAAGTTTAATATCATAAATTTGAAATAACTTGTTCCAAAATTTTAACTTATATGTTCTAAATTTTAAAATGTGTGTTCTAAGATTTTTAATTATATGTTCTAGATTTTAAAGCGTATGTTCTATTTTTTTACTCATATGTTCTAAATTTTTTACTCACACTTTCTATATTCTATATCAGTTTGTTCTAAATTTTTATTCACATGTTCATAATCTTAAATCAGATGTTCTAAATTTTACTCATATGTTTAAAATTTCATAAAGTATATTTTATAAATTTTTAATCACTTGTTCTAATTCTTAAATCAAATGTTCTAAACATATTACTCACATAGATGTTCTAAATTATTACTTAGATGTTCTAAATTTTAATTTCAGACACATGTTCTAAATTTTTATTCGTATGTTCTAAACTTTTACTCACATGTTCTAAATTTAAAATCAATTCTCATATAAGTATGAATTCTCACATATGAACTTATTCTCACCGGATCCCTCCCCTATATATATATATATATATATATATATATGTATATATATATGTATATATATATATACATATACATATATACATATATGTATACATATATGTATATGTATATATATATGTATATATGTATATGTATATATATGTATATATATATATGTATATACATATATGTATATATATATGTATATGTATACATATATATATGTATATATGTATATGTATATATGTATATGTATATATATATATGTATATATGTTTTCTAAAATTATATGCATAAAAAAGAAAGTAAATAATTTGAATTTTTTTTATTAAACATATTTTTAAATAAAATATTATTTTTGTACATTGAAACTTTTCCAACATATACACTACAACATTTGCTTTTGATATATAATTCAACAAGAGTAATTTAAAAATGAAAAGTGCAAAGTCAAACTGTTGCAAGTATTTTAAAACCCTATTATATTTTTCTCCATGATGTTGTTGTTGTTCATCCTCATAACTATTTTCCTTTCTGTATTCAACAAACAGCTTTGAAGCTCGGCACTTGGTATCAATCCATTCTGCGATGCATAAATAAGAAAGCTTCGCATCCAAGCCGATCACTCAATCAACAAAGTAAAGTATATCATACCAATGGTATCAAAGTGCTTTATTATGAGATTAGAGTTAAACTTTCTACAAGAAGAACCAACACTAAAGTTAAATTTCCTACATCATAGTGGTCTTATGATGATAAAGCGACCGTATTTATAGGGAAATTCCCTGTTTCTCATATTGAGAAACAAAATTTGTTTCTCATGAGGGCATTTTCGTGAATAAATCAACAACTTTTTCATTATTATGGGTTCCACAATTGAATAAAGTTGTTGGTTTAATTACGTAAATGACACGTGAGAAATAAATTTTGTTTAATTTCTAGAAATTGGGCATCCCCTTATTTATATATGTGATCTATGATATATTGGCGTGCAAGGAGCCTATTGGACTTGTGCCAGTTGACCACACAGAAATGACCAGGTCCCTGTCAGGTGCGTGCCTGCCTTCTATAAATTATAAACTACATCCGCATGCTTTTTTTAATTTTACACAAAAGTCAAATGGGATCTATAAATTAAAAAATAAATGGAAGAATATTTAAGTACTAATAATAGACGTGCAAGTATAAAAAATGTTTAGGCTTTGTAAACATTTCAATATGTCATCTATAAATTTATAATAATGCAATGAAAGCATGACCTATTCAATGATCATATGTCAATAATGTCATAGAAATTTCAATATCTTAATGCATTTGTTAAAGACGAATCTCTTTTGTAGATATCGTATGACTTTATATTAATGAATTATTTTACTATTCAAAAAAAATATATATATATAAAATTATAAGGTGTCTTACTCCAAGTTCTTGATCAATGACAGAAAGAAAACGTCATTTGTGCTTGCAACAATTCAGTCATATTCATTTTAAAAAACAAACGATATAAGAATACAAGCAATGCACTCCATGAAAAGAATAAGAAGCCGAGAATGGTGCTTGCATAGTGATTGCTTTTGGGATGCAAAATTCAAAATTGGATCTACCCCAAAATCAACGTAATCATGGTTCGGGCTGCACCTAAAAACATCTGCCTGGATCAAGCTAGCGAGCCAGGCTCGTATTATTCAGCTCTAAACTGAAAGGATCTAGACAAACTTAGATCTTAATATATCAAGTTTGGGTTTTATTAATCTATTTGCTTGTGATATATATAAGAGAATAAAGAAATGTTACATTTGATACTTTTTTTTTTTTTTTGGATCCAATTACATTATTTCTTTAAGGTATAATTAAGAAATAAGTATTGAATTATGTTGTGTATATATATATGTATATACTATGTACAAGTATTTAATAATTACAGTACATTGGATTCTTCTGAAAGGTGCATATCAAAATTTTATCATCCAATTCTAGTTGGAGGAAGTACAAATTTCTCATGACACACAAGATACTTTAAATATGAACTGCCATAAAGATGATTAGAATAATTGTGGTTCATTGATATTCAATATATGGAGTAACTCTCCATTAAATTAAATATTTTCGGTGTCATACATTCTTCCATCAATGAATACCTTGGGAACATATTGGATCTTCTTCCAGTCACCACCAACGATTCGATAACATCTACTTGCTAGCTCTGCATTTCCTTCGATGATCAACTGTTTCAGAGACGAGGGCATTTTCTCGTCAGGCAATGACTGCAAAGCAGTGTCATTCCTTATCACCAGATTAGTTAAGGAAGTAAACTCATCTAGTGCAGGTAGAGCTCTCAACTTGTGACAATCCACAACCTTGAAATCGCAAAGGCAAGGCATTTTCGTTGCAGGATCCCATTGTTCAAGCCTTGCCATGTCTTCAACTCTTAGTGACTCTAATGATGGGAAACTCACTTCTTCCTGTATTGCCTTGTTAAAAAAATGAAAGCTCATGTATGTTACGCGGCGCAGTTCCTGTATATGAAGGGTTTAAAGGCATGGAAGATTATGTAGTGGAGGTAATATATTACATTCATAACACCGTTGGAGGTGGATGGCCGTCAGCTTGCTTATCGAGTTGATCCAATTTGGAAAGACAGGACCTCCATATCCAATTATTTGCAATTCTTCCAAATCTTCATGTGGTTCAAGTCCGGCTAGGACTTCATTGTCTTGGAGTTGATCATTTCGATAGTTATTCCATTCGAGTTCCAACCTTTTAACAAATTTCTTGTCGTTCATCTTAGCTTCCTTAGCTTCATCTTCACCTTCAACCCTTTCTAGATTTGTAAGGCAAATTGAACCTCGAAGTTGTATCTTACCCTTTAATTCTGTTATTCGACACCCATCTTCATCACCCACAACAAACGCAGGAAGCGTTTGGAGATTCGACAACCTTCCAATGTTAGGGGGCATACGCCACAAAGTTTTTATATCTGCCTCGAGATGCAACAGGTTGGCCAACCTTGTTGTATCTTTAGGCAATTCGAGTATGTAACAACCAGTCAATTTGAGGACTTCTAGTGTATTGAGCTTGGTGATAGACACCGGAGGCTTATCAATTTCTGTCGACGACACATCCAGGAGGCGTAGAAGTTTCAAATTCCCAACCGATCCAGGTAGCTCTTTGATGTCAGTGTTACTCAAATTGAGTACTCTCAGAGTTTGTAATTTACAGAACAGACCACGACTTAGTTTAGCGAGTTTTGTTCCCTCATATAATGAGGCTAGTGTTCGGAGACCCTTGCAAGATTTTTCCATTTTCTTCAATATTGAAGGTGCAATCTTTTTTAAATTAAAAGATACATGTGGTGCTCTACGAAAGCAAACATACAGCATCGAAGAGTGCCTGTTCTGGCTCAAAGAGGACCAATACGTATCAACTTTTTTGTTAAGCTGAACGTATATGTAAGAACTGACTTCTTGAGCATATCGGTAAACCTCTAGCTCACGGTCGTAGATGATTGTAGACCGTGATAGCAGCTCATGAAACCAATCGTTTCCAATCTCTTCTAATCTTGCATGATCATAAGAGTTCCTAGGAATCTCTTGCTCAATGAAACTTTCTGACATCCAGTATCGAACCAAATCTTCCTTCTGAAAGTGGAAATCCACAGGGAAAAGAGAGAGATAACAGAAACAATTCCTTAGACTTCGAGACAGATTTGTATAATTCAGCTCAATTGATGGGAAGATTTGTTCCCTAAGTTTGGGGATATCCCATAAATCACTTGGCTGAATAGACGACCATCTGTCTTCGGACACAGAGGAGATATGAAGTCTGATGGTATTGGCCACCAAAGGTAAGCCTTTGCAGAGATTTTCGGCTACCTTAAGTGATATCGTGTCCCAAGAATAATGCTTGTGTTTCGAAGAATTCTGTAGGATGATAGATTGGCAATTCTCTGTTGATAGCCCTTTCAAATGATAGGCAACTACAGGAACAGTACTAAGAGAAGTAACTAACCGTGTTACATCAGGATTACGAGTAGTGATGATGACACCGTACATTAAGGTGGAATTGAAGAGAATAGATTCGAAGACCTCCCATTCTTGTGGAACTGGAAAATTGTACAAGTCATCCAATATGATTAACACCTTTGCTCGCTTACACAAGTCTCTGAACACTCTCTGCTTCCCCTGCTCCTGAATGATCTTTTCGGTTTCTGGGGAAGCTTGGACTGTCACCGAATTGAAGACCTTTTCCAAGTCTAAAACCCCTGACACAGAAACCAAAATCTGTGGTCAAAACCTTGCTCAATGCTTAAATCGTTCTTGATAACATGAGCAAGGTATGTTTTTCCTAGCCCAAACATGCCCTCTATCGACAAAATAATGTTCTTGCATTGATAGCTATCGCTGCTACTACTGCTACTGCTGCAGCTTCTATTATTAGTTGCATCCAGCAACAATTCAACAATCTCTTCCTTCTCGCGCATTCTCATGAAGTCCACATCATTGTCTAGTGTAATATCCAGCATCCTAGCAAGAGTTTTAGGAGGCCTATTGATTTTGACACAAGCCAAGTTCGCCACTCCAATTGACAATGAATCTAAATTATACTGCAGGTTCACCATCTCTTGAGACACACCAATTTTGCAAGAAAGACAAGGCACCTTCCCTCTCTCTAGTCTTAAGCGCGAAATCTACCATCAAGTCTTCAAAGTTGTAACAATATGTCATTGCATCACCAACCCAAATTTGGTGTTTATGGCTGTTTACCAGCTCACATCCATCTATTTGATCCTGCGCTAACTGAACTTTTGTGTAGCTCATCTCTAGATTTTTCAGCTTGATCTCCAGGTCTGATATTACATGGCGATATTGATCATGAGCAAAAGACTTGATGGTGTCAATTAACTCTTGGACAACGATAGTTTCAAATACGCCGCCAACCAACTCTAAGGCCATACCGATATCAAGCTAGCTATCTAGCTGTGATGTGCAGCTTAATAAGACAAAGAATGGAGGTGAATGCTTCAGATATCAATTAGAAATCATTTGCTATGGTTGTAAAAGGTTTATCATTTAGTTTACAGAAGTTCAATGGACAATAAGACAAATAAAAAAAGAAGAAAAATGAAAATTTAACGCCATTGTTAACTTAACATCATCAAAACTAAGTCAGTAGTTAGTACGGAGTATGATGTAACTCTTTTTTTAAACTAATGATAATCCATTTTAATTTGAAGTTGTATATACATCACTGTATTATATATAAATCAAATTTTAACAAATACATATCGAATCGATTTGAATAAATCTCTAATCTAAATAAATAATCATAATCTACTTTTCATATCCAAAGTCGCCTTAAAGGTCCTTTTCCCAATATATTTTAACGGTCATTTCTATCCTCATAAATAAATAAATAATTGAAGGAAAATGTTATACATAGCCCTTAAGGCTACATATAAGCATTAAAAATACTCTTGAAACGGTTTAAATTTAGAAAATCATGACAAATTCACACTAATTACACTAATCTACGTGTGTTTTTGTCATGAATTCCTAAATTTATACAATTTCCAGGAGTGTTTTTAATGCTTATATATAGCCTAAGGGCAATGTATAACATTACCCATAATTAAAAATAAAAAGAGGTCCGTCTAAAGAACTTTTCGAATTTATATTCACAATGATATTTAGCTTGGCTTAAATTTTTCAATGACTTCATGGCTGCCACCTTGAGGAATAGTTTGACTACAATGATGAAACAGAACATATGAAGTTGCCTAGCTTGTTCTTCCTGGAATCTTACTTATTAATAGCTATCATCGCTTTCAAGATGTACTATGTATATATTTTTTCAGTGATATTAGAACATTTTTTAGTTAGGGATGATAATGATATCTGATTATTAAGTATTTAAGTTTATATATTGAATACTTCCTTGATCGCGTACCTTTTTCTGTATTTATGTATGATTAAGAACCTCAGTGTTGACAAGTCTAGGCAGTTATGTTCAAGGCCATAATTCCTAAGTATATGCAACTAAATATCACCCTCAAGGCCTCAATACATTATACATTACCTGACTAATCTATATGGATTATTTGAAAGGAAAAAAAAATGTAACAAATTACCATTATATTTGACAGAATACATAGGACTAACAGGAGAATTTTTTCTCATCTCAAGTTGGCCTTTCATTTTTCAACTCTACACAAAAGAAGCACCAGAACAACTGTCCAATCATCGATATATCAACTTCGATCCAGATGGACTCCAGTGCACATAGAAGACTCCGAACAACGGCCCTGTCTAGCAGGGATAGTGCGAGTAGCAGTCAACAAGAAAGCATCAAGAAACCTGCACAACTTGAACTTTTGTTCTGTAAGGAGCTTCAGAAACAGGATACTATAGGTGTTTGTTCATTAGCAGAAGAGTATGGCAGTATCTTCCTCGCCGAGCAAGATAAGTCTGGCCATGTGTTGTTCAATGACATTCAAAGTAAAAAAAATTGAGGATTTTATTTGGAGTTCTCTGAAGATCAGTCTGATTACACATACAAATTTGGCAAAGGTTGGCTCCAATTTGCACAGGCAAAGGGTCTAACTGTTGGTGATTCAGTGACATTTTATCGCCAACGCGCCACAGATCTGTTCTTTATAGACTGCTTGCCTAAGGAGCCCTCTGTACTTGACCAAATTTCATCATTAAACCAAACAAATTTACCTCCGTTGTTTGATTCTCCGTTCTTGCATTATTTGAGCCTCTTCCCCGAGGATCATGAAATCGAGAGGGATACATTAATCCAGCTTGGTCAGGCAACAGGTCTTTTTGCAGATGCATCTCTCGCTTCCATTGTTTCCTCATTCAAAGCATACCAAAGCGAGGGATATCTCTATCCTTCAAGGTATGATGAAACAACTGGAAAGCTTTGGTACAAGGTAACTGATTTGGTATCTAAACATGTCACAAATTCGGAAAAGACCCATCTCAAAATCGATCTTGATGACCCCCTTGATTCACTCAGTTGCGAAAATTCAGCATTTGAGCATGTAACAATGTGGCGTTTTCCATCCAATGTTATTCCAGTGTTGGAAAAATTTATAAATATGAGGACACTTTGGTTCCTTAAGGGTCATCGGTCTCGCACAAACCATGTACCTTATGATTTTTTCACCTCATTGAAGCACCTGCAGATTCTGAATTTGAGCTGTACTAAAATTACAGAGCTGCCAAGTTCGATAGGCCATATAAGGGGCTTGCGCTATCTTGATCTCTCTGAGACCCTCGTTAAAAACTTGCCTGGAACCGTAGGCCACCTTAAGGAACTGCAAACTCTAAAACTCAAAAATTGTCGCGGCCTAATTACATTGTCTAAAGATACAACTAGATTAGAAAATCTTCAACATCTTGATCTTGGTGTCCATACCTACTTGCACTGTATGCCCCCTGGCCTTGGTGCACTTACTCGCCTTTGTACATTGTCGCCATTTGTTATTGGCTGTGAGTTAAGTTGCGGAATAGCTGAGCTCAAGAACCTTGATGGTTTAAATGAGCTCCGCCTTACAAAGCTTCAGAATGTTGCAAGCTCAGTGGAAGCCAGGGAAGCAGACCTGATCACCAAGGTGCATCTGAGGAGCCTGGAGCTTCAATGGAGCTCAAGTGGACAGAAAATTAGCAGAGTTTACGACGAGGTTATTGAGTGCCTGCGGCCACACACAGACCTCAAATACTTCAAGGTACTCAGTTATGGAGGTTCAAAATTCCCAAGTTGGTTTAGTGATCCTTCTTTTTCCAACATCATGAGCATTACCCTCTTCAAGTGTGAAAATTGCCGGGTCTTACCTCCTTTAGGGCGCCTACCCTCGCTAAAATTTCTCACCATAGATGGATTAACCGGAATAAGAGTCATTGATAATCAGTTCTGCAGAGTAATTGAACACAATGATGGAATTGATGAAAAAGTTGCATTCCCAAAATTGAAAAACTTGGCACTAATCTCCTTGCTTTCTTTGGAAGAATGGAAAGATGTACATAAAAGCGATTTTCCATCCCTTCTTAAACTGGAATTGAAGGATTGCCCGAAATTGGTTACAATTTGCAGCCTTTCAGACATGCATTCGCTCCGACATTTGGAGATAAGTAATTGTCCCTTGCTCCGGTCCCTGCCAGAGGGACGCTTGCCTGCTTCAGTGGAAGAGTTGTTGATTGAAGATTGTCCCTTGCTCAAGTACAGCTGCTCAAAACCTGATGGTGTAGATTGGCACCAGATAGAGCATGTTGGAAGCATATGGATAGACTACGAAGACAAATCCTCTCGCTAATCAGAAAGATATGAGTTTTTAATCAATGAGTGATCCACTGTACAACTATAATGCAGAGTGTATCGTTGTATAACTAATCGAATTTTTACCTTTCATGGATTAATTGAAATTTACATTCAATGGATGTTGGATTTGTTTTTTAAGCTGTGATTCTGAGGTATATGATAAACAAAACTAGATCAAGCAGCCAAAACACAACTGAAACCTACCGTGGATCTATGCTTGTGGAGAGGGAAGTCCAAAATCGCCAAAGATTTATTCTATGAAAGGTAACATTTGACTAGTTAAATTACAATACAAACTACATAGAAAGATAAATACAAAGCCAAAATAGAACAATGCCAAATCCCGTCACATTAAATTTCACTCAAATAATTCTGATTGGAAAATCTACAGATGAAGTATATGGCTTCAAAAAAAAAACCCTAGCTGAACTTATATCTACGGAATATGATGATACAAAGAATATTAATACTAGAAATCAGTTGGGAAATTGCCAAAAAAAAATGTAACGGAACTTGGGAATCCCAATAAGATGGCAAGAAAAATATTCGAGGCAAGCTTATATCATACATAATATACCAAAATGTAGAATCAGAAAAATGGAGGAAAAAAGTTGCAAAAAAATAAGGAAAGAAAAAATTATACATCTCTCTTCACTTACAGGTTACATAAGCAGTTGTTCTAGATCTGCAAATGCAGACCTTGAGTTGCTTGGTTTGGCGACCTCTGGACCTATACTGTCAAGTAGTTGCTGCTCAGAAGCCTTGAGGTCCAAGGCAGATTGAGTTGAGTCAACTGTAGGTGGTGAAGCTTCAGATTGATTTGAGTCAGCTGGTGGTACAGCTCCTGGCTGACTTAATTCCACTGAATTAGAAACTGCCAACTGGCTAGAATCAGCTTGATTTGAAGATCCTAGTTCACTCAAATTTTCCGAAGAAGGTGCTCCTTCAGGTTTTGGTTGATGAGAAACTTCTGCCGAAGAAGCTCCAACTTCGTCGGATTCCTCTCCAGCTTGGGTAGACTCTAGTGGAGCAGCTCCAGGTTGGCTGGACTCTGCTGGAGGAGTAGCTCCAGATTCGCTGGATTCTGCTGAAGGAGTAGCTCCAGATTCGCTGGATTCTACTGGAGGAGTAGCTCCAGGTTCGCTTGATTCTGCTGTGGACGGAGCTCCGGGTTGACTGGACTCTGCTGGAGGTATCACACTTGAATCTCCGGAATCTTTTGGTGGTGGTATAACACCATTAATCGGAGCTGCGGTAGGAGGTGCTCCTAATAACAACTGTTTACCAGGATCCTGTTGAGAACCCTTTGTGGCGGGCAATGATTTCTTTGGAGCGGAAATTGAAAGCGAGAGAGAGCTCATCCCTGGAGGAAGAATTTCAATAGGAGGTTTTTTATTAGTGTCCCCTAAACTAGGAAGCTTGGGGTCCTCCAGAGAAGCCAGGAATGCAGAAGTTGCATCAGTCTTGGTTGTTCGAGTATGCTCAATCTCCTTCTGCAACATTTTATTCCATGACTCAACCAAGTTCTTAAGAGTTGGTCGTCCATGGGCCTGATAAATATGAACTAGTCAGACAAGGCAGTAATACCAACATATATAAATACATAAATAAATAAATAAATAAATAAATAAATAAATAAATAAATAAATAAATAAATAAATAAATAAATAAATAAGAAGAGGCTTCATGTAACTTGAAATAGCATACATGAGAATGAAGTACAGCCTCTGCAAGCATCCCTGTTTCATGCCACGCCTTCTCCATGAGAGCATTGTCACCCAAAACTGCAGCCGCAAATGCGGCTTCACGTCCCAATCCAAGTGACACTAAATTATTCACCAGAGTCTGCATTCAATCATCAAATACATTTTGAGTAGCACAAAGAAGAGATAGGTAATGCAGCCATGTAATCACAAGGAAGAGCAAAAAGAAGTATTTGATGCTGAAAGGGATTGCAGTTGATATAAATCTCATTGGAAAATCTACAAATGATGTATGCAGCCAGAGTCCAAAGTCCTGGTCTTAACAGCAGGATGGCAAAATATTACCAAGTTTAAAATGGATTTTTCAGGGACACACCGTATCTATGTTAATATTTAGTCATGAAGAGTAAATATACTCAAGAAGTTGCTTGATGCAACAGATTATGTAAGAGCCATTTATATCTACAGCTTTAATAGATTTGACAGCACCACGTGCACATTTAACAAGATTAGTCACATTGGAATGATAGGTGATTATCATATTTATAAATGAGAACTTCTAAAAGATATCCCACTACATCCAGATCATCATAAAGAAGTGAAAATTAAGTTTGATCATGCAGATGTCTAAATAATTTTTATGAGTGAAAATAAAAAATAAACTTATCAATCTTCAACAACAGTATCTTAGTACACCAGAGTGGAAGAGAACAAAAAGAACATACACTTAAGCGGGTTAACTCCCATGGTTTGCAAGTCGCAATGCCAGACCCCTTAATTCATGACTCTGCAAAGATCCCTTCACAGAACCAGCTGCAGCTAATCGCTTAAGAGCTTCACGGGCAATTTCAGATTGTGCTGTTGCATCTGCTGCATCAATAAGATCCAAAAACTGCTTTGCAAATTTTGCTATCCCTTGCACTGCATCTACAATATTTTCTTTCTTAGCAGCTACATTTAACAGGTTTGTCAAATCCAACCCTGAAGTTTCTTGTCCTATATCCCTGCTATTGCTCATTGTCAAAAGGCACTGAAGAGCTCTTTTCAAATCATTTCCCTGCATGGCCAGATCAAACTCCAACCTGCGAAAGAAAAGATGAAATCACACCTTAAAATCATAGAGATCATTACACAATCAAGTTGGAGCATCGACTGCTAATCAAGTTGTTGCACGTATTTTTTATGCATTGAAAAAGGCATCATTTAAACATCATATAGTCATTGTCAGGTATTACAAAAGCACAAGTTATAAAGAGCAATCAGAAGCACAAGCACAACTATGATAGAGTTGAATGACCAACTTGTACATAGCATGTAACATGAGTTTACCTCTTCGATATTCCAGGCAAATGAAGAGCTTCAGCAGCATAACCCATTCCGAGCATAAATTCAGCTAAGTCATCATGATGCTCTCTGCCAAGTCTAGTAGCCCTGTAGATGCAAAAGTAATTAATGTACCACCTCAATAAGCACATGCATCCAGCAAACATGGGAAATTTGAAGGATAATTACCATTTTACTGCACTGACAGCATCCCCATAGGCAGCAAGACAGCGGCAACGAATACCAGGATGGGTAAGAGATAAAGCATGGGCCCGCATATACCTGGAGGTGAATTCAGCAGTGCATGAATATTAAATACTCAAATATACAGGAGAAACACAAAACAGAAGTACAAAAGCATCTAAAGATGGAAAATGGTTTCAAAAAATTGAGGATTGATTTCGGGTTTTCCTTTTCTGACAAAGCATCAACTTCATATAACCTTAAACTTCCATAGGACAGAAGTAGAAAGGACCCACTGGTAACTGGTTTAGCTTCTTGAAACCAAGCATAATTTCACAGCTCTGCTACATTTAAGAACTAGAGATGGGTTACCTATCAATCAGCCAGAGTACTCCATCTCTAACTCCCACAACCACAAGTGGGCCAATTGGTCGTTTTTGCTCCGCAGGGAAGCGGGTTACTGCAACAGCAACACCACCACCACCAACAGCAATATCATTTGCTCTTCTATCTTCGGGCATACCAGAATCATCCCCGTCAACTTTGGACTGTTTTGGCAATGTTAAGTAAGGTGGCACAGAAGGAGCTTGCTGAAATGAAGCTAATCTCACAACCTGCAATAATAACTCCATCCATCATTCATTTGATAATCATACAAGTGACAGCAGAGTCACTACAACATGCTCAGATCTTTGTAAAAGAAATCAATCAATGATAAACGATCTTGTAACATATACTCTTTCAAAAAGGGCAGCATAAACCCACAATATAGCTGCCAATACTCTGTAATATGTACAACAAACCTACAAGATAATCTGACTAGAACAGTTGAACTGAAAACAGTAGATAAAAATTGCATAGCTCAATCAATGACACTATATGACACATATGCTTATTTTATTACCTGGTCCATTTTCGTCACATCCAGCTCTTAATCAGTTCTGACACAAGATTTCAGAGCAATTGGAGGTCTACTAGATAGTCTAAATAGAAATAAGCTGTTTGACTAGCCAGTACTGAGTTTGTGACAAGCTAGTGATGAAATTACAGCTCTTTAGGGATGCAACTTTAAAAGCTCTACTTCACATAGCACAGATAATTGAATAACCAGATATTTGTCCTGGTCAAAACATATAAGACTTATTAATCTAATCTAATGATAGGTAAGCAAGAAAAAGGACAATAATATATTTTTAAAAAATTAAAAAAAGTTTTTATGAGATATATTTATAACAAAAGGAACTAAGGAATTCAAGATATTGTAGCAATAATAAATAAGTGAATCTTTGTAATACCAATTTAAATATTTTTATTTATGTTGCAACCCAGAAACAAGATAAGGCTGTTTTACACTAGACCTTGGATTAGAAATGCAACAACCATGTGCTAGTTCATAATAATAAAGAAGAGAGTCTAATGAACCAATATTATTCAAGTCCATTCTGAAAGAAAGCTAAACAAGTCAATCAGTCAACTCCATTGCAAAGTGCTATAGTTCAATCTAAAAGATTATACTCCCTCTACCATAAGGGAAAGAGCATAAATAGTTTGATAGTTAAAAAACAAAAAAAAAAACAAAAAAAAAACAAAAAACAAGTCAACAATACCTGTAGCATTGGCGGTCTCAAAGATATTCTTTCGTTTGTATCAGCTTTAGGACCATCAACTGAAATCAGAGCTAATTCACCATGCTCAGCAACAGCTCTAGCTTGTACCTCTTTCAGTCTCAGTTCTTCATTCATCCTCTTTGTCTCTAGATCGATTGCAGCAATTCCAGCATCCACAA